GTGTTGCTGGGCATGAAGCAGGGCTGCAGTGTGACAGTTTCCCCTGCAGCTGCAACTCCTGCCAGTAGGTCCCATCTTGTCTGGCAGCTGAGTATGCAGGGTGCAAGATTGCAGGGGGGAGGGCTGAGCTGGGAAGGGGTATGGGAGGGAGGGTGTAGGGTTTGTGGGGGTGAAGTTTGTGGGGGCGTGCAGGGTTTGCAGGTTGGGGGCACTGGTGACACAGGGGGTGCACACAGGTACATGTGCACCCCGAGATTGGTGATGCACCCCATGAGAAAAGCACCCCCCCACCACTGCTGACACTGCCGGCAGCATCTGTGGGCGGTTGTTGATCGCCACTGGCTGCTGCTCCCGGTGGCATCTGTGGGTGGTTGTCCACCGCTGGTCAGCGCTCTCCACCTCCACCCCCCGCCACGGCCGCCTGCGGAAGCTCTCCATTTGCCACCGCCACCACCACCTGCAGGCAATCACCGTGCCCCCTGACCCTCTGGGGGAATGCATTGCTCATGGTTGGGCGTTTGTGTGGATGGTTTGGGGGTTTGTGGCAGGTGGGGACTACTCGGGAGGGGTGGGTCCTCCATTCACCCCCCCACACGGCACTCAGCTCCCCTGCAGCAGCGGGTTGTTGGGGTAACTTGGCCTGCTGCTGGCAGAGCCCCCCTGCCAGTGCACTGTGCTGCCCGAGACCTGGGGGCTACACATGGCGCACAGAGCCACACGAGGTTCCCAGGCAGGACCAGGCTGGCTGTTGCTGCCACCTGGGGCTCTTGCCGCCAGGTTGGCTCCATACACTATTTGCAACCCCCAGGTCTCAGGTGGTGCCATACTGTCATGGGGCTGTGCCTGCAGTGGGCCATGATCGCCCCAACAGCCTGGTTAGCTGCTGCGGGGGGGCTATGCACTCTGCAAGTGGGCTGGTGGGGGACCCACCCCTCTCGAGCAGTCCCCTCCAACCACAAATCCCCCCCATCCCCATGTCCCTACTTACCAGGGAGAGCCTGGGTCCAAGCCTCTGCTGCCAGCCTTTCCCCACTTCTATTCCCAGCAGGCATAAAGACATTCTGGCCAGGTGCTAGAGTGTCTCTCTGGAGGACCCAGCCTCTGGTTGCCTCAGGCCACACTCCAGGAGCATACCCTGCACCACTTTTTCCCAGCACTTTTTTAATACCAGGATTTATACTGGTCTGACCAGTTGGCAAGTGTGCAATCTGGGAATTCAAAGAGGGGGAAAAAAAAGATATGCCTTTTGAATCACATGTGGTATTCAACTGATAAAAAATACATTGTAAAATGGAAGGTTAAATAAAGCTTCTTTAGACAGACGCATGAAAAAGGGGCTAAGGTTTAAAACTTGGCTTGGATATAAATCCTCAGAGGTGTGGAAATATATGGTTTAGATTTACAATGTTAATGCTACTTAAAAATTAGAAAGTAGTTGTAAAGAAACCTTAAGGTGCACACTGTTAGGGATAATAATAACACACAATAATTTGGATTATTAGGGAGCACTGGATTTGCAACTGAATACAAAGTCTTTACCTGTGGCCTAGCAGAGCTGCTGACCACAAAGCAAAATGATATCTAAGCCAGCCATTTGCTTATGCTAAGTAACCATTTTAACTGTGTCAACCATATTCTGAGAGAAAAGCAGCAAGTGAATCTGTGTAAGTCTATGTGCTGTGAACCAGCTACAGCAAAGAATGAGATAAGATAAAGGGGCCCCCAAAACGGATAGAAGATGGTACAACCTAAGACAGAAAAACAGACTAGAATGTGAAAAACAGCACGTAATCGGTAACAGAATCTGAGATGAACAGATGCAAAAAGGTGAATGGTGACTGGTGAAGAAGCCTCCAGAAGCTTCCAGGTTTTTGTCAAAGTCCGCCCATTGACCGAAGAAAAGGAGTCAAGGTCTTAGACATACGCTCATAGCAAAAAGACATGTAAATGAATGAAATGCATAGGCAATTCCATGCTAATGAAGCAAACAGTAAACAGAGCCGGAGCTTGAGATGGGAGGAAAAATGGGTAAAACATAGGAGGAGTGAAAGTAGAGTGATTGTTAATGAGTATAAACCAAAGTGTATAAATATAGGAAAAAACTATTGTTCATTGCTGCTCCTCGTCTCCTATGGCAAGAGAGCTCACCCAAAGCCGTCTCCATCCTGAATAAAGCTGTTGCGAGAAATGTGTGCTGGTGTTTGCTCCCTGCTCTGCTCTGGCTAATGAATAACAGGATCCATGGGTAATTAGACCATCATCTCCCTAGTCGTTGGGCGCTGCATGGAGTCGAGGTCTAACACACAGAGTCAAGGAACTTGCAAAGACAAAAGCAATTTGACTAACTGAAATTAAAGGGAGAAACTGGAGTCATGCAATGTTGGAAACTTCTCAGCTAAAATTCACAGAGTCAGAAAGCACAAAAAGTTAATTCCTACAGCAACACTGACTCAGCTGTATCATGTACAAGTACTATTTTCTTTTTCTTGCAATACATTTGTAACTTAATGTATTGCCATGAATGTGTTTCAACTGACATGGTATTAAAAACAAACAAGTTTTTAGCAATTGCATTTTCTGATTTTGTGTAATTTTTAACTGTGTAAATGTATTGTTGCATAGCTTAAAAATGCAAGAAATAAGTTGCTGGGAATAACCTGTAACCAAGTCTTGGTGAAAGTATTTAAGAATCAAAACTCAAGGCATGTCTATTAAGAGTTTTCTAATTAATCCATGTACACCAAATATGTAGAAGAATGTTAATGTGTAGAAAGATGTTTCTTCCATGATCCTATGACCTGAGATGGAAGATATTTTTCCATTCAAAGGACTTTGAGTAACAAGGTGGCTGGGGCCATGGACAAATGTTATATCTGCAGCCCTACAAGTGCCCTGGTTGCACTACAAAGTCAAAGTAGACAAATATAAACACATTCTGTAGTGCTAAATATACAGAAGCATCACAAAAATGCTCATGGATGAAACTGTATTTTATACTGCCACATGTAACATTTAGAGTGCATTGTAATACTATACATGGATCTCTCAGTTTTCTAGCATTCCTATGGTGCTCCACTTTCACTTACTCCTCCAAGGGGAGAGGGAAGGAGGAGACAGGGTGGACAGTTAATGAGTGCTGCCTGGGTACCTAGTTGTCATTAGAGTCGGAGAACAGGAATCCCTGCGAGAAATACCCTCTAATCTCTGGAGAGGGCAGGAGTAGGGAGAAGCAGCTGGCAGTGTCCACTGCAACCCCAGTCCCCAGGGAATTGCAACTCTTCTCCCCATCCTGCTGTGGAAGAGTGTTAGTGTGCACCTCAGCCTAAGGAATCTCCAGGGCTAGAAAAGTAACATCTGTCATTCTCATCAAACCTAGAGGTGACAAGTGCTGTTATGAAACAAAAATATGTCTTATATTTTTATATTTGAAACATTTTAGTAAGAATCATATTCAGCAATGTATTCTTGAACAGCATGCAATTATGAGTATGCCTTTTTATTTTTATTATTTTGTAGTCTGGTTTAATCTGGTTTGAGGCACTATAGCTAACAGGTGCCATAGACAGACTTTGAGTCAACAGCATCAGTCCCAATATTAAATACATTGCCTAGTGAACCCAAAAAGGACTTCTAATCACATACCATATTTATCTGAATGCCAGACTAGTTTTCCCACCCCGCGAATCACCGTGGCAGGGGTAATTTTAGATTGAGTACTAACCAATCTAAGTGGTTTGGCACTGAAAAGGCAGAGGGGGGGAGGAACAGGAGAGACCACACAGCCCAGCCTTCACCTTCCCTCCCAGCCACTTATACCGAGTTCCTGCTCCAGTCCTAGCCTAGCCAGGCCCAGAACTGCTACCACTATTTCTGCCTGCTTAGGCTGAGCCAGGGCTGGGGCTGCCTCTGACTGAGCAGCCCAGAAGGTAACTGGAGAAGAAATTTGGGGGGGGAGGGAGCTGGGCACAGGTCAGGGGCAGACAGAAGGAAGGCAAACAGACATTGGGAGGCAGAGACGTGGTGGGGGGGGG